GTATGTATATATGACAAATAGAAAGATTTTAAATTTCTAAAAATTACCTTGACTGCAATAATTCCTTAATAAGACAGATCAAGCTTAATTTATTGGCATTGTACGTGTAATTATGTTGTACTGTATTTTTACTTGAATGCTCAAAGCCACAAAGTGATGATGGAGCTACAGACAAAGTCAGCAGATCAAAGACAATTTGTGTTTTTCATTGGAGGCAATAAATATTTTATACAAAAGCTTAAACCCTTTTGTTTGGTTGGTGTTTGGACTATGCTGTTCAAATAAATCTGGTGACATGTTATTAATATTTGCTGAAAGCACAAAAACTTAACACTTGGAGTTAGCTGACTGACCAATGAAAGACGTCTCTCCCAGGTATCCTCTTCGTCTCAGCACCACTTCCATGAATTTGTCCTCCTCATCCACCACATAGTACTCCTTTTCCAGAGAGATCCAAGCCCAGTCCAGATGGAACTGCTGCCCTTTAAGGATGTTTCCACCTAGAAATACAAAAAACATAACATGAAAACATGCTTTAAATGCCTGTTTGACTTAAAATACCATTGTTGAAACCATCTTATCACCATCAAACTGGTTGGCCCACTAGTGAGTGTACTATTTATGAGAGTGAGTTTGTTGTGGCTCCTCAGACTGATGAAGTCCTATGGATAAAGGACGAAACGTTTCAACATAAAGAAACTGTCCGGAGGACTTAACTTAGTTGGATTTTTTACCTGGATTATTGAGCATGGACTTTGATGTCAGTATACTGTTTGTTTAAAGTTACTTTTGAAATCATGTTTATGTTAAATGGGTCCTTCACATATTTTGTTTATCACATCACATTTAATATTCTATTTAAAGTGGAACCTAGAAGGCCTAAAGAAGCAAATATGTTTTAATTATTTTCAGTCTGCAGTCAGTAATGTAAGAAGGGTGTGTGGGGCAGAGGTTAGATATGGTGGGCCCATGATCAGAAGATCGCCGGTTCAACTCGACAACATCAAAATGTGGGTGAGGTAGGTGAATCACCCACATCTGCCTCCACCCTCATTTGCCCCACTCTTGGCCCTTGAGCAAGGCCCTTAACCCCCACCATTTTCTCCCCCGGGCCCCTAGATAGCAGCTCTCTGCTCCACACAGAGGACTGTGGTAGCTCGGTGGTCTGTGGTTGTGTCAGGAAGGACATCCGGCGTAAAAATAATTGCCAGGTCTTCTTGTGAGTTAGTTCACCGTGGTGACCCCTGAAGAAGGGAGCAGCCGAAAGAAGAGAAAGTAATGTAAGCATATTCTAAAAATACACATTTATACAAAAAGACCACCACAATTGTTCAATTTTCTCTCAGTCCCTTTCTTGTGTTCTGTTCTCCTGCTGAACCTGGATTTCTTTTCTGTTTTGTCGTTTACAGAGGATTCCTTAAAATCTGTGTATTTAAGAAAAGCATTTGAAGAGTGGATGGCCATGTTTGTGCCAGGCCAAAAGGACAACTCTATTTTGCTTTTTAAAATTGTATTTATACTCATATTCCTAAGGTTTCAACACTGGAAGGATTTCACAAGAAAATGTAAAAGGAGAATATAAGAAGTGGGGAAGAATATCATTTATTATGTTGTGGGGGAGATGTGACCAATGATGATCCTTCCAGAGGAGCTTTATTACATATCTGATTGTATTTTTTTACTGACAAAGAAAATATAGGCTGCATGTAGTAACCACTGAAATACTGTAGAAATACACTGGAATGGAAAAACCACAATGCAGTCCATGCTGACAAGGTGAGAAATTGTGCAGCCATCTCAATAGATGTTAAGTAAAGTAAAGTGTTATATGTTGTCATCATTGTATGTTCCCATACATTGATGAAATTAGTTCTCTGCATTTAACCCATCACACCTGAGATATACCTAGGTGGTGCCGTGGGCAGTTATGTAAGCACCTAGGGAGCAATTAGGGATTAGGTGTCATGGCCAGGGACACCATGGCATGTGGGGATGGTGGGGAGTCGAACCGTGACTTTCTGGTCCCAAGTCAGCTGCCCTACCTCTACACCTTCTCAGCCCCAGTGGCATTCTTTTTACAAGTACTATGTGACATTAAACCACGATTCTTGAGGAAAAACGAAACTCAGCCATGAAGCCCAATGTTGTGTTTATAATTGCAATTATCAGAACCACAATTCAGGGAACATTGCATAACGTTTCATGGGCAAGTGATATGCCATAAAACCTAACAAGTCGTTAAAGGTGTGACCTTCAAGGATTCAAGGATTCAAGGTTCTTTATTTGTCATACACATGCGGTACATGTGGAGGAACACAATTTTGTACACAGGGTCCCAGTTACGTCCAACAAAAGTATAAAATGTAAAAGAAAACTGTAATAAGATCTAAGATATGAACTAAGCAAAACAATAACTAAAAATACACTAAGCACTAGTAGCATACAAACAATTAAAACAATTCGCCGAACAGCAGCACGAGCATGAGTCCGTGTGAGCAGATGAGCTCAAATGAACACAGCAACATGAAACAGATCAGCAGCAGCATGAAACAGATCAGCAGCAACACGATGTGATTGTTTACAGTGATTATCCTGGTTAGATATGCATGAGTCTAACAGCCTCAGGATAGAAGCTGTTCCTCAGTCTAGTGGCTCTACACTTAATGCTCCTTAACCTCCTGAGCCTGAGGGGAGTGGGGCAAAAAGTATGTGTGCTGGGTGAGTGGGGTCCTTCATGATGCAGGTGGCCCTCTTCCTGCATCTGGAGGTGTAGATGTCTGTGATGGTGGGGAGGCTGACTCCAACAGACTTTTGTGCAGCCTAATGTTTCCTAGTGTTCCTTCCTAGTGTTTGTTGCGAATGCTTTTTTAAACTGTAAGAAAATTGCTCACAAATCAAAACATATCTGTACTATACCTATTATATGGGCAAAATATTTTCTAAATCAGATCAGTGAATTAGTATATAGGCTAGACTACAGCTAATTTATTTATGTCTAAATACTAAAGTATGTTATATAAGACCTATATTTACAGAATGAAAGAAAAAAGAAATACATTATATAAGAAAAATATTAGTCCTTTTTCTTTTCTTTTTTCTTTTTGATGCTCACTTCGTCAGGGGTTGCCACAGCGAGAAAACTCACGAACAGTTGGCAATTGTTTTTAGGCTAGATGCTAGGCGCCTATCTGCCAACTCAACCCCCGTGCCTGGCCCTCTATGGCACCTGGGGGGTTGAGGGGTTAAGGAACTCAAGGGCCCAAAATGGGCAAATGAGGGTGGAGACAGATGTGGGTGTTTTACCTTTCACACCCATATTTTGAACTATCAGTAAGGGTATTTGAACCAGTGACATCACGATTACAGGCTCACATTCTGCCACCAGCCACCACTCCCCAAGTAAGTTATTAGTCTATATGTGTAATTACCTACAGACACTGGCAGCAGAGGTCTGGTTAGACTAAGTAGACAAGTAAAGTAAAAGTGTACTGGTCTAGCTAGACTAATTATAGTACTTGACCATTTTATCTAGAATACAACCTATCTGGTATGAAGTGACAGCTGCTAAATGGTAAGTTTAATTCTAATAAGTATAATGCTTGACTCATGAGTATGGACCATTGACTGGTAATGTACCATATTTTTCAGACTACAAGGCACACTTAAAATCTTTTAATTTTCTCAAAAATCGACAGTGAGCCTTATAATCTGGTGTGCCTTACAGTCCAAAAAATACGGTACAGGGATGTAGAATGCAGGGTCGACAGTTTGATCAACTAACACTTGACAGAGCTTGTCTTTAGAGCATATGCGTGTCCCCTGTTTTTATAATGTGCATGAAATGTGATTATTTACGCCGAATAAGGCTATTTTATGCATTTTTGCATTGATGACAGCATACAGCAGGCACACGGTGTTAATGTGTGGCTTTGACTTGTAAACAGTACACAGAACAGTGGTTAGGTGTGGCAACTGGCAGAATGGCAGCCTAGCAGTGTTAGCAGCCACTCAAGTGTATTGCTTGGAAAAAAATAAATAATTTAGCTCCTGAGTGGACAGTATCCAATTGAATTTTCAAGTTATTTTTCCATATTAAAGGCTCAAAGCGAATACTGATTGAACTCAATTACCATTATCAGAAGCTACAATGTTGTTCAAGCGCAATTGTGGGCCAAGATGGGTAGGACACTCTATCCCCAGTTGCTCCCCAGGCAGCCCTCCATAGCTGCCTACTGCTCCACCCGGTGGTGGATGGGTTAAAAGCAGAGAGCCAATTTCACCTTTGTATGGGAACTTACAATGATGACAATACATAACACATTATACTTGTGCAAACAAGGCCTTCATGTCACAAATCCATAGTTATGAGCAAAGATGATGCCCTCCACCCTCACATTCATCAGCACACCTTTAGTTCAGCTATCTGTTAGCATGAAGCTCTAACACTGTGTGCTTACACAGTGCTGAAAGACAGCAGAGGTGAAAAGTTCAGCACGTGCCAGCTTGACAAACATAACCATGACATGCTGAGGTGAGGAGACAGCTAATAAAATCAGAGTTCATGAATCCTTTGAAAAGCCTGCAGACCAAGTTTCACTTAATGCGTGCAAATACAAAAATTGCACACACGCACACCTCTTCAAATCCCACTTCACTGCAGCCTGCAACCTTGACTTCCATCTCAGCACCACAGGAGTATAAATGCAACATAAACTGTCTGAAATCTTAGTTTGTGTGTGCAGGTTTATGTGTGTGTGCGCGTGTTTTTCTTTGTTGTGACCTCTCACTGGGGTTGAGCAGTTGTGCACAGACAAGTGGAACCCGAAGCAGTGGGCTTTAGTGTCTCATTGCTCCAGCTCTTTGGAAGGATAAAAGACCTCTCACATCTGCTGACCATTCGAAAAGCAGCTTTGAAATCATCCTCAATAGAGCAAATTTCACTTTGCACAGCCTTTCAAAGGTTTTACCGTCAAAGACTCAGCACACAGGTTGGTTTCTTTGTTATTTATCCTTTTCAAACCTATTTGGGATCATGACTTCTGTACAACGTTTCAAAGATCAGGAGACCCCCAAGAAAACCCTGAAGAAAACCTCTGTTTGAATGCTACATTTACTCTGATGGCTTGTGATGTACTTTACACAATAATCTCTGAGAGCAGTAATGTCAGATGAGATTACACTCTAACAAAAAAGCCTTAATATCAAAAGCGATGGAACCTTGCAGCACAGTGGTGTGAAGAGGTGTCTTGCTGGGATGAAGCTGTGAGAATTCTACTAACATCCTTTTCAAGTGCCTAAAAGTTGCTTTATTCAGCTTTGCCTGAAACTATGGTTCAGTTTCAGTGTTCTCATTTCATTTACCTTTGCTATAATAAATAGCAAAGATTAGTATGCAGAACTATATAAAAAAAATGGAGCTAAACATTAGGTAAATTTAATAAACTTTGTTTTTAAATCTAGGGATTTGAGGAAGAACGACTTGACTGCGGGACGAAGTTGT